TGTGCGCATTTCCCCCTCTCCCCTCACTAAGTCTTTCCATGGTGGTTTTGGTCTTATGGCACTTTTTTTTTTTTTTGGCCTAATCTTGGATGGAATAACAAACAACAAGTGATATTTTTAATTCTGTATATTTCACTTTCGTGTGACTCATGAGAGAAATAAGTTGTTCTTAACCAGATTATTTCTAGGAATCTGGTCATTCTGGGCTCACCTAGTATATGGTGTGGTGTCCACACGTGTCCAGGTGTGTAACCCAGAGCCAAAGGCCACCAGGCTCCGGGGCCAGGCAGCCCATGGAAAGGAGTGAAGGCGGACCATGTAATACTGAAGGGAATGGTGCGGACTGCGGAAAGGTCATGGCCAGGGTATGGGGGGCAAGCTTAGCTCCACCCATGGCTGTGAAGTAGGGCTGTAAGACTACTGGTGACCAATGTTTAGTGTTTCTTTTTTTGGCCTCCCCTCCCCAAGCAAAAAAATCTGGACTTTTATGAGAAATATCCCGATTTTTAAAATTTGGTTTATCAATTCGAAGAAATTCAAACCCAGTGTTGGCAAATAAGTCTTCAGGTCACGCCCTGCCTGCTCAGCCTCAGATCACAACTTCTGGGGGGTCTTGAGCTCACGCCAGCCCTCACAGGCCCTATGGGCGTGGGTTAAGTGAGATTAAAAGACTAAACTTGGCCAGCTCAGCTGTCCCTTCCCACTGGCACAGGGACCAGACCTCACCCATTTTCCTCTACTCCCAGGCAGTGCTTCCCTCCCTGGCACCCCATTCCCCCTGTCACCACCCTTTACTCCAGGATGCCTTCCCTCCCAGGAGCTCCTCCCTGAGATATTTGGAGTCTCCAGGCTCCCACGGGAGTTCACCTGGTTGGCCACTCAACCCCTACGCCCAGGCTGCTGATGCTTGCCTCTCTCTGTGGGAGAAAGGGCTCCCTTCACGCTTGTGTTTTCTTCTCTTAGATGGAAGAATCCCATGGCTGTTGCTTGAGATGTTACAGCTGTTATCCCTACCACCCCGTCTCTTCTTCCTCCAGGGCATTCGCACGCAGGCTGCTGGGATGGCAGGAGTGAGGCCAACCTGAGGACTTGCCACTTAGGAAATCAGAAACCAGCACCTCCCCTGCCCTCCGTGTCCTTCTGCTGATTCTGTGTATCATGCCAGACTTCCTTCTCCCTCTCTCCCAGGGCCACCAAGTCTCCCATTACCATCAGATCTCTCACCTCTGGCCCCACCTCAGCTCCCCTCACAGAATCTGTGATGTACACCTGAAAATATCTGAATCCCAGTTTCACATATTGTCAGGATTCTTTTTCTAGGAGCCATCTTAGACCAGCCCCTTGAAAATCAAGCCGTCAGCCCATCAGCCAGTCAATCAAAGCTAGTAAACCAGTTCCAGCGACAGCTGCAAAGTGTCTCCCAGTCTTATTCACCCAATTTCCATGGAGGCTCAATGGACACTCATTACAATGAATTTGTTCTAATCACCATAATTGAATGTCTACTTAAAATATATGAGCTCCTTGGATAATTCAAAACAAACCATACTTCATTATCTGTGTGTTAGAGGAGCATAATTTTTGCAGTTGTACACTTACACCAACTTTTATGTTAACACTCTTCCAGGAGTAGTTTAGGATGGGTATTTGGGATGCAACCCCAAATTATATACCCCTGTGGTAAAATGAACTATTTCATAATCTTTGTTATAACCTGGTTTCCAGAATGCAATTTGCAGAAAGTGGAGATGATGTCAATGAATAAGTAAAAAGCATGATGTTGATGCTAGACATTGGTCTACAGTCAGGTGATATTGTTGAAAGTTTTTGTGGGGAAGCTTTCTATTGATCATAGTTGAGTTACAGTGTTTATCACAAGTTCTGCCATATAAGGAATTATAGGTCATCTAAAGCAGGTTTCCTATACAGAGTCCGCGGGCTCCTGGATTTTGCATCAGTTCACGGTTATCTGGCGATAATGGTGGGACCACATTTAAGATCCTCAAGTTACATGAGAGCCTGTTTGTGGAGTTAACAAGTGGGTCATTGTGTCAACACATCACCCCAAACCATGGAATTTCATGTTCATAGATCTGGAAAGTGTTCTTAAATGTCACAGACTCCAGAGTTGCCATTTCACTAATCCAGAAGGAGTCTGGAACCCAAAGAGGTTACTGACTTGCCCAAGATAACAAAATTGCCTGGTAGAACTGAGATGCCACACATCTCCATTCCTCCGAGTCTTATGTCCTGTCTGTGTGTCATTTCATGAGCAGTAAATGATGGTTTAGATTGAACAAATTCAGTTCAGCTTCAGGGATGGTTTTTATTATTACATCACTAGGCTGATTGGGGAAAACCTCCCTCCCCAATACTCGTAGAGCAGCGTGATGCATTGGGGTTTGCCATTTGTCACATCCTAATTTGTCCAGACTCCTAAGCACATGTCTTATGTTTGGAGTCATACTGACACTGGGCAGTTGTCCCTGGCTTTGGGTACCCCGGGAAAGGTGACCACCTGGTCTTGGGAAATACCCAAGGCTCGAATGCACATGGTCAATTGTTAAGGCCCCTAGAAATAGCAACACAAACTGTCCTTTTGTCCCCCAGTCTGTCCCTTTGGGACCCCTTCTCCTTTTAGGGCTCCTTTGATGTTCATTTTGATCTGATTATACTTCGATGAAAATGCTGAGCAGGGAAGTTTGTGTTTTGAGTTGCTGTGACTGCACCCACTCGGGGGCCCCGTCCAAGTGACTGAGCAAGAACAGAGTCATGGTTGCTGCCCAGTGTCTGGAGGGGGAGTAAGAAAAACCCAGAAGAGAGGCTGATAGATGCAGATCAGAGGTAGGGGTCACCCCAGAGTAGAGAAGGAAACCAGAAGATTCTGTAATAAGGGGACATGGCTACAGTAAACGTAGCTATTAATTGTGATATGCAACAGTATATTTGTAAACAAGAGTGTCCAGATAAAAATCCAGGCTGGTGGTCCCTGTGGTTGTAATGCCAAGGATACCAGCAGTCTACGCTTCCAGGAAGTAAGAGGACCTGGACGGTCTCTTCTCTACACCTGGCTTCCCCTAGGTAACCTCTTCTCAGCCTTCAGGTGTCAGTTCCCACATCGCTTCTGCAGGGAAGCCGTCCCTGACCACCTCGAACCAGACCTGGTCCCCCTTTCCATGTTTTCATAGCTGCCCTTGCCTTCCCTGCATAGTACACATCTCATAGAAGTAATCACTTTCTCGTGTGATGGTTCAGTGTCTGTCTCCCTGGCCACGCTCCATGCCCTTTGGGGTCAGAGTGTTGTTGCTGCATCTCAAAGTCTGACTTAGGAGGAGCAGGGCGACCATTTATTTCCCAGAGGGTGTTCTCTAAAAATAGCATCTTTTCCACGTTTTTTACAGTAGTAAGGTGACATGGAAATTTTTAAGATTCTGAAAACCATTTGGTGGAAGCCATAAGAAAGCGAGATCTTGAGACACATGGACAAGGTAATCAGATGCCATTTTTAAGTGCTATCCCATGTTCCCCAAAGCACAAGGGGCAGCTCTCCACCCCACGCCCCCATCCCCCTACTCTGTTGAACCCTGCCTCCAGGGGTCACTTAGGGAGTTACTCAATAAATATTTGAAGGAAGAGGAAAATACGTGGGAGAGCTGATAGCATCTCAGATAATTAAGGAACACCAAAATGGAGGTGAGGTGTGATTTGTCCTGTGTTTTCCTGGAGTGGTGCTTGAAGAACTTCAGCTCGATGTGAGACAGCACTTTAAAGATTAGAAGTACCCGAATTGTGATGGACCATCTGAGCAGGGATCCAGGGCTTGGCAACTGACAGTCTCCAAGCAGAGACTGGGCATGCTCAGTGAGCTGTTGTAAGTGATCATTCAAACACCAGACAAGGAGCTAGATTAGAAACCCTCAGAGTGTCTTTCCAATATTGACATACTGTTATCATAGGATTTCAGTTCATACATCCCCCACTCGAAAACAAACTCCATAAAGGCAGAGATTTTTACCTGCTTAGTTCCCTGTTGTGTCTTTAATGCTTAGATAGTGCCTGACACATAGTAGCTGCTCAATAAATATTGTTGAGTAAGTGAATATATTGGTAGATATCAAATTCAAAACTATGCTTCTGGCATAGAATCAGTTCTAATTATGTGTTTGTTTCATTGACCAGAATCAAGCAGGCTGTAAATCAAAAAGTGAGCTAACATTTGGCAGTACACCACCCAGTAAAAAGCTATGGTCAACGTTCTGACTAAGCATGGAAAATCCAACTTTTCAGAGCAGAGATTCTGGAGGGGCTACTTCCTTAAAGGGGATGTGGCCAAGGGAACCAGCAAGGAATGTGAATCACCCAGAGACTGCAACAATGGCAGGAAGCCTTAACCTTGATTCCCTGGGACAACACACAGTGACCCCCAAGGGACCAAGGAGGCAACATAGCTAAAAGAGCCCAATGAGAGCTGGAACTGTGGACATGAGGTGGCCTCAGATGCAGCCACTGTGAAACACCAGACCCCTAATCAGCCAGGGAGCAGAAAGAAAGGCCATATTTCCCTCTCCTCCTGCCTCATAATATTGGTGTCTCCCATTGGCCAAACCCAGCTGGGAGCAGCCAGTAGGGGGCAGAGCATGCAGACCTGACCAGAGCAGGGCTGGGAAGGATGGGAAATAACCATCACATAAACTGATTTTTTTCTTCTATTTGAACTACACAAATAATACACATTCATTCAAGAAAATGTAGAGGGGCCAGCCTGGTGGCGCAGTGGTTAAGCGTGCACATTCCACTTTGGTGGCCCAGGGTTCGCTGGTTCGGATCCCGGGTGCGGACATGGCACCGCTTGTCAAGCCATGTTGTGGCAGGCATCCCACATATAAAGTAGAGGAAGATGGGCATGGATGTTAGCTCAGGGCCAGTCCTCTTCAGCAAAAAGAGGAGGATTGATGGCAGATGTGAGCTCAGGGCTAATCTTCAAAAAAAAAAAAAAAGAAAGAAAAGAAAATGTAGACACTAGATCACTGTGTAGTGAGGGTCCCCCAGAATCCTACCTCTCAATGTCTAGTGTGAATGTTTTGGCTTTTTCTCCTTCTTTCTTTTTTTCTTTCATATACTTGTAAAGGATTCGAAAATTTCTATTCCGAATAAACCAAAATAAATTTGGTTACACTTGTTTCTTGGCCTAATTAAGATTGAACCTGTAGCCTAACAGAGAGCTCTGTTCCCTTTGTTCTGTTAACATAAACAAGTTACTTCATGTCCCTCTGTGGGAACTGGGAATTAGGCAAGTGTTTAGACTCACAAAAACTTCCAGCAAGTTTGGCTCTCAGCTTGGAGACCAAGTAATTAAATATGAGATGAAAGATGAGTCCAACCGGGCTCACCCTCCAAGATTGGAAAGGGGACTATACATGAAGGCAAACTCCGTTAGCCTGATTTTCCTGTCAACAGAAAGTTCCTCTCCATTTTTAATATTACTTGAAAGGCAGTTTGAAAATAGGGGGAAAACAGTTTAGGAAAATAGAGGAAATGCTTATGGGCACAGTTCTTGTTACATCTGCAGCTGTCGAATGCTTTGTAACACTCATCACGCTTGTCGTGACTTAGCTGCTGCCTGGCCAGTCCCACTAGCCAGGAACTTCCAGAAGGCAAAGCTCTTGTCCCTTCACTGATCCCAGCACGGAAGCTGGTGTGGAGTGGGTCCTTGTTGAACGAGGGTGAGTAAGCGGTTGATGCTCTTAGTTGAAGTAGAGAGAAAGTGTGTGGGGCGAAAGGTCAGCAGGTCATTGCTATGTGTGCCAGAGCTCTGAAAAGCCTAGATACACATGGCAACCAGCGCCAGTTAAGATGGTTGCAATCACGCACCTAAGGTTGGCGGCCCTCGTTGCCTTCTTTAGTTTTTAAAAAAATCAAGTCATCTCAGCTCCTTTAGAAAGGAGTAAATTCTGCTTTCCTGGACTGAGACCTATATTGGGCTTTTACAAATTTCTGCCCGAATGGGATTGTCCTCATGACTTGGTTCAGGAGGCCAAATGAATAGAACCTCAAACCACCCCATTTCAGTTCTAGAAGTTAGATAGCCCCCCCGGGATAAATCTGTTTGCTCTCAGGTCGTATATCTAGAGGTTAAGCTGTCAGCCAGTGTGACATTGAAGGCAGCCTTGGGATTGGGGGAAGAAGACCAATGGTGGCGATCATAAAGGATGGCATTCGCTGTCAGGAAGGTTCAGAGCCGGCTCAGAGATGTATGTCTGCTCTGCGCGGCTTCTCTCTGTCTCCCCCACAAGCTTACATCCTCACCTCTGCTGCTTTTGATAAATGTCTCTCTGAACCCACCATTGCAGTGTCTGCAGGCTGGGGTGCAGTTGGCGATGAGCTGAGCCCTCCCCCTCACTCCATCACCCTGGAGCTGTGGGGAAAAGGCTGCCCAAGGGGGCTTGTCTCCCTTCTCTGCCAGGACGTGAGATGGTTTTTTGCAAGCTCACATAAAGGTTACGAACTTCCATGGCTGCTCCTCTGAAACTATAATAGATTCCTGTTTTAATTATTATTTTGGAAAATACTCCTGCAGGATTTCAGCAGTCTCCAAGCCCATTCTACAAGTTCAAGTACATTTTTGAAAGAATGTTTTCGAAAGTATAGATTGTGCTGAACGCCTGTAGTTATGAATGGATTAGATGTGTGTTATCTCCTGGAGAAAAATGCATCTGGAAACAGACTGCATTCTTAGAGGGATAATTAGTTCATTGTGCTTAGCACAGCAAGTCCTCCCAGGGTGTCCTCAGAGATGGGACTGATCTAGAATGGAAAGCAAGAGACCATTTGTAACATATTGCTTGCTTGCTATCCAAAAATTGCTCAGTTCAGAAATAACTAAGACTTGATTTCATCGTTTCTGGACAATAAAGACCGAAATATCCTAATAGAAGAACAGAGTGAAAAATAGAGCTAATGATTGCCATAGAGGCCAAGGAATGAGCCCATGGAGGGTTTCAGAGTCCAAGACGTGTGCCCCTCAAGGCGACCTCAGTTGGTTTTCATGGCAGACTGACTGATACATGATGGAGAAGGTACATCGTAACTTGATTGCGAGGTAAGCATGGGATGTGAAAAAGTGTTATGAATAATGGGCTTTGTGTCTTTGTTTTCTAAACTCCTTATGACCATGGCTCAATACTGGCATTTGAGTGCAATAGGGGATGAGGAATTATATTTTCAGTTGGATAATTCAAGAGCTGGTAACTATTTATTATTTATAGTTTGGTTTCCGTTATTAGATTCAACACACCAGGACTAACAAAAAATAATGCTTTCATTTAATTTCTCCTACACTTGAGTCCTTTTGTCTGCCTTAGACCTGTGTCTTTTGCTAAGAATAACCTTTTTAAATTTGTGAAGACAAACTCACTTCCCATTAAAATTATTTCACTTTGAAAATAGTCCTCTCGGAAGAAAAAACCAGATTAGCTTCTTGGTTTGTTTCGCACGGTATATAGTTTGGTTTGTATGACAATAGCAAGGCAGAATTTATAGTTGGCGACATTTTCTGGGTTTCGAGTAGGCTGTCTGGAAGAGTGTATGTAGATTTTTAATAAACAATGCAGATGGGGGTTAGTAGTTCAGTCTTACTTTCTGGAGGAAGGTCAGTGTGTCCTCCTAAGGGACATCCTTGGGGATGTGTGACACCTCTGGGCATGCAATTGACTTTAATGTTTCTCACATTTATTCTGGGATATGTGTAGAAAATATAATCTCATGCCCTTTTCTTTCAAAGAAAAAAAGTTCTAATAGACTAAAAGAAAATCAAGAATATTTTGTCAATGGCCTGTGCTTTAGAAAATAGTTGGTTTTCCCATTTTTCGGGGGCATTGTGTCACAATGGCAATCTGTTAAGTCACAAGATAATCAGGTTCCCCCCTCCTCCAGCAGTTAAATTGTTATGCTCCATATATAAAATATTAGTTGTGTTTTGAAATATTCCTTATAACTTCTAGCACCTTTGTATCTGAACATGTAAGATTATTTTCTAAATCTGCCTTATCCAGTATTGATTCTATAAAGCAAAATCATTCTGACTCTAAAAAATGTGCGCATGCCTTTGGCCTCCTTTCTTTCTCCGGGCCATTCTTTCATCCTTCGTTGCCCAGCTTCTTGGAGCCGTTGCCTGGCTGCAAAGTCAGCAGAGTATCTCAATTAGGTCAGACCTTGCGAAGCCCCTAGAACGGCATGCTCTCTGGGCTTCCTCCCCGCCCTCCCGGACAAGCCCATCCTGGCCTCCTACCTAAAAGACCTGTAGATTGCCTTGAAAGGATGCTCAGGCTAACTCATGCTACTGTGGCGCTGACTCCTTACCCTTCCCAGGGGAGAGCAGAGTTTTAACTGATGGCTTTCACCTTAAACCAAAAAGAGCTGGGTTTTCCTAATGGAATTGCAGGCCCTATGGGAAATTTCTGGACAGGGATGTTTTGAAATGGTGGGGCTCTCTGGTCTTCCTCTAATTGGGCCGTGAGGCTCGCCTGCAGTTGGCTCGCTGGCTGGTTTGTGTCCTGCTGGCTGTAGACACGTCCTGTGGGCTCTGCTTTTCTACCTCTGTGACCCCACTCCTGACGGGGACACTGAATAGCTCCCATATTTCCTGATTGTGTAACCTGTGCTACAAGGGAATTAAGAGCGCTTTCCAGTAAGAGTATCTTTTTTCCCCAACAAGGCATAAATGTGCATTTTATCTGTGGCCACTGTCACTATTATTTAAAAGGAGATTTTGCTGAGCAAAAACAATCTTTTCACCTACTATTAATATTGCCAAATAAATTATGCAGCAGGTAGTGGCAAGGAGACCAGTATTTGTGCCTTTTGCATGTCATGTGATTTATTTTGCTGCGTGCACCAAAGTCCAGTGGCAAGACAGCAGGGCACCTGCAGGAAATGTTAATAGCCTAGTGTAACGGGTGTGTGGGATATGAGACGGAAAGGACTGGAAAGCAAAACCATCACAGAGCTAAGGTGGAACGAACAGAGGCCTTAAGAAAATACTGAGACACAGAAGGCTCTCAAGTATGAAAGAAACTTGAATGTTGCTCAAGAAATGTAACTTTCTCTTTCCTTTTCTTTTCCTTTGTGCTATTAGGTGTCTGTGTTTTCCCTGCCCAAGCCCTGTGCACTCTATTCATTTGTTCATTCATCCAGCAAATACTTGGTCCTGGGAGAAAGATACAGGCAAAAAATGTGTGTGTGTGTTTGTGTTCCCTGCTTTGAAAAAGCTCACAATTTTAAAAACTGGATTCAAAATACTATGAATCCTGCACGTTTGTGGATGCGATATAGAGCAGTTTCAGTACCTTGCGAGTGAAACAAGACGTCTGTACTTATCCAAGTTGATGATTTTGCTAAAGCAGGAATCGCAGGTGAACTGACAGATGGCTGACCCATGGGATCCAGTGTGGCCTGTGCTGTCACTGCAAGGCTGTCCTTCAAGCCGAGCCACTTGTCCAGTGGAGACGTTTACAGACCGCCCAGCAGCCACTCTCAAAGCAGCTTTGCTGTTTTCATTCACTTGCAATGTACACAGCATCTCTCAGAAACGGCTTTTAAAAAATACGTTTCTTGGCCAAAAAAAGAAAAATTCAAATACAATAATATTATATTGGAAGATAGACATAGTTAACTTGTGATCTGAGGCTATACACAGAAAACAAATGGCTCAAGAAGAAGCCAGGAGCCTCTGAGTATACTACCCCATCTAAGAACTTAGATCTTTGTATGTTCTGCATGAATATCAAATCTACAGTACAGGGAGGCTCCCTCCTCCCCAAGCTGATAGTCCAGAGTAGGAGAGAGACGATTAGAAAAAAGGTAAATATGAGACCACGAGATGCTTACTGTAAGTGTAATAACCAGCACTGTAACAAGTGGAAAGATGAGTGGGCTGGAGTTGTTGTGGAAGACTTGATGGAGCTTGTAAGATCTGGGCTGACTCTTAGCTAAACAGACATGGATCTGGGGACCTAATCTGGGGGCAAGAGAGACTGCCGTGGAGGTCAAAACGGAGGATTAACAGAGGACCCCTCCACTCAAACTGCCTTTTCAGCCTCTGTGAATTAGTGATTTCCATCACACTAGTGAATTTTGCGGGGGGAGAAATCATTGCAAGAAGTGTCTTCTGAACTAACTGATAAATCCATTAAAATGGCTTTTCCTTTACTTAAGTAGCCTTCTATATGTTCAGCCTTCTTTGAAAGGAAATAGGTATTAAAACAAATTATCCTATTATGTTGTTAGTTTAAAGTTACTTAATAGGTATGATAGAAACAGCTATATTAAAGATGAACAGCTAATTTTATTTTCCATAACCACAAATGAATGCTTTAAATGGAACTTTATTTAAAGGATATTAATCCTTTGAAATAGTTTAGTTTTAGGTGTCTATGCCTGGGCATAATCCATATTTTGAGTTTTTGTTCCATGGTGCAGTAGTATCAGTTTTCAGCAAGTTTTTTACTTCTGAAAACCTTCATCCCAAGAACTCAATTTCTTTTTCAAATATGAACCTTTTGACTCTTTATATAAAAATAGATATAGCATTTTAAGAGGGAGAAGTGACCTTAAGGAAGTCAAAATCCAAAATAATTTGAAGGTCTCTCCTACTAAAGTTTGGAAGTTAGTTCATACTTAGTATTTATGAATATAAAATCATAGAACTTAAATGTTTTTCTAAGAAATGCTTCTAAATTTACATTTTAGGTATTTGTCTTCAGATCGATTTGTAAATACTATTTTTTAAAAAGTCAAGCTTCAATGTATTCTTACTTAAATTTGCTTACTTAAAACTGTATTAAATATCTTGTTAACAGAAGCTAAGTACAGTATCCAAACTTCCTTCAGCTATGCGTTATTCACTGCCCACCCCCACCCTCCAAACTTCACTTTAAAACTTACGCTGGGGCCAGCCCCATGTCCCAGTGATTCAGTTCGGCATGCTCTGCTTCCGCTGCCCAGGTTCGTGGGTTCAGATCCCTGGTGTGGACCTATACCACTTGTCAGCCATGCTGTGGTGGCGACCCACATATAAAGTAGAGAAAGATCGGACAGATGTTAGCTCAGGGCTAATCTTCCATCAGCAAAAAAAGAGGAAGATTAGCAACAGATGTTAGCTCAGGGCTAATCTTCCTCAGCAAAAAAACAAAACAAAACAAAAAAAAGTGTGTTAAAGATGTGTCCATTTACTTTGAAACAAACTTATAATTCGGGAAGTCAACTTGAAAATATCAGAGCTCCGAAGATCTTGCTGCTTTTGTGGAGTTTAATGAGAACAGTGGCTGGAGCCAAGGAAGGTAGAGCCCTGGCTGCTTTAGGAGAGTGTGGGTTGTATTTGATGTTTACAAAAGAATGGCAGTCGCGGGGTGTTGCTCAGCGAAGTGTGCATTTTCAAGTTCCCCACAGTGGTGTCTATTGTCCTGTTTCTCAATTGAATGATGTCATGTTTCATTTAAGGCTCTTAGTGATGCTGAAGTCTGTGGTCTGCACACTGGGGGGAAGAGGCAGTGAGAAAGTTGCAAATCAGGTTTTTGTAAAGCCTTTGTGTGTTGGGTTTTGAGAGATAGAAGCTGACTCATGCCATATTTCTACGGAAGGAGCTGCACAGACTAGTGAAGCCGTCTTGTTTTACCTGACTGAGCTCCCAGTGAGGTCACTACATCAGCTGAAGGCAGGCAGACAATGTGGCTTACCCTGGGGAGAGGACAGGTAGGTGCTAACGTGAATGTGGCTGAAGAACCATGCCTGGGCAAACTCGCTCCTTCTCTCTTGGAGCAGCCGGAGACCGGCCACAGCGCTGGGAAGCTGTCGCCAGGGATTGTGTTCACAACACTGTGCAAGGACAGCAGCTGGCGTGGATATGTTACAACTGTTCTGTTGTAAATGCGACGTAGAAAGAGTTCTCCAACAATGGAATTCGTCTAGAAGGCGATTGTTTTCTCCATCTGAACGGCAGTCTGTCTTAGATGGTTTTTGCCTGGTTTGGTTTGGTGTTTATCTTTCCTTAAAGTTAGCCTGAAAGATCTAGAGAACTGATGTCTGAGACTCTGGGGAGAAAAT